TTTTTCAACCTTTCTTTTTTTTTTCAGGATGCACTTATAGAATAATTAAAACTCTTGGGCTTATTTTAAATTTTAATAAGTAAAATTTAGTCATTAGTTGAGAGGGCCATTTTATGTCATAAAAAGACTTTTTTATGAAAATAGTTGAAGAGAGAACATCAACTTTCTTATCCTGAATATTGAATAAGGTGCATGAAAAAGCGAACAAAACTCAAAACTTTGATGTAAAATTTGAAAGAAACCAATATTTATGACATAAAATATAACAGAGCAGAATACAAGGTTTACAAATGAGTTTGTACAAAATTTTCTTTATGTGCACCTAATTAAAGGCAAGATAACCAATTTAAATAAATAGAAATATGGCTCATAAAAGAAGATATTCAAGAAACTTTGAAGGTGCATTATTTACATTATTCGGACTGTTATCCTCATCTTCACTGCTATATTCCCAACATTTCAGCCTCTATATCTCTGAGATGAGGTATTATGATTACTTGCCTTATTTACATTATATGGACTATTATCCCCATCTTCATTGCCATATTCAGAATGTTTTGGCTATTGTATGCCTTCAGGTGATTGGAATTTCAAACTGAACCCTTTATTTCGTACATCAGGGTAGATTGTTCTAGTTTCACATGCCATGCCTCTTCCAGATGTCTCAGTTATTTCCCTTTAACTCAACTCTCCAAGTTTTGGTTCACCACTGCTGTGGCCTGGTACTGAACTCACAACTCTTTGGGTCTATTATCCACTGGGCTAGTGGAAACATTGTGAATATGGCGATGAGGATAACAGTCTGTATAATGTAAATAAGGTAAGTAATCATAATACCTTATCTCAGAGATATAGACAGATCTTGAAGGTACAATATAATTCCTTTTTAAAGTTTCAAAATACATATTCTTTATGTTGCAATGGAATTTTCCACTCTGCCTATCACCTATTGTGGACTGACTATATCAGTAGATATATATAGTAAGCACAGGATATACCTGGCGGACTTGCTTCAGGAATTACTAGCTTGCTAACTGATTCCCTGTCTTTCAAGAATGTATTCTCTTTTACAATAAACTTCTCTTTCTTTCATCTACGCCTCTGTTGCTGTTCCTTTCACTTGAGTACCACCTTTGTCAGTTTGTAACCTTCTTTAAGGATACAACACTTTAAAAAAAGATAGACTTAAGTTAAGGGTCGGCAACCTGCGGGCCGGATCCGGTCTGCGAAGGCATTTTGACTGGCCCATGAGCCTGATTACCCATGACTCTATTTTTAACATGAGAGACGACTTTCAAATGAAATTTGTTATGTCATTTTCTATAGAATGTCTATACATCTCAGTACACTAAAAATATTAGACTATCTGCCAGTTATCTTTCATGAGACTTATTTTACCAAGTTGCGTTGCCTACGTTTAATGTCAAATGATGGATACATATTTGTTATGACCCTTGGCTACATTAAAAGATAACAGAAGTGAAAGGGAACGATAAAGTGAAAGAGGCCAGGAGGGACTGACATGCGAGGTAACAGAAATCTAAAGACAGTTAAACATACGTGCATTATACATACATGCCTCGTGTGTGTGGATGATGCCGCATGTGTGCGTACATAAGTGTATATGTTTGCAACTATTTGTACTCGTATGTATGGGTATATGTGCTTCGTTTTTGTTTGATGTGTGTGTGTGGTTCGTTTGTGGAACAATTTTCAATAACAGTTTCAAACCTACACGTCATAATTTCATCCATTTCACTTCGGTTGATTTTTTTTCACTTTGAAGTATTTTGACATTCCTGGAGGAAAAGTAATTTTTGTTAAGTATTTTTTAATTTTGGATTTTCTTTTGTTTTTTTGATCTCCCAATGTTTATTTTCATTATGGTTTTAAATATTTAAGTTGACAGAGGTCTGCATATGTAATTTTCCTTAATTTTTCATTAATGGCCTTTGTCCGGCCCGCGACCCATCATTATAACATGATCCGGTCTGCGGGGTCGAATGAGTTGCCGATCCCTGGGACATAAACAAATTTACTCTTCTTTTAACACAGTTGGACTATTTAAGAAATTTTTCACGTCACTAGTTTCACTTTGGTACTGCTTCTTTATTCTGTTTTTGTTTTCTTCTTCGTCCATAAGAGTTCTTCCACAGGTGACAGTTAAAATTGCTTCTTACTTCTGGTATCCTTCTCGCTTCTTTATTTCCTTCCAGATCCTCATAAATTGTTTTAACTTTCTGCACCACTCGATTTCTCATATAGTCCTGAAATAGGCTCCAGACGGTTCTCAAATTTTAAATTTGCATGAATGGAAGTCAATGTACTGACTAGTCAAAAAAAAAAATCCTAAGATATATCTATTTTTAAAATTTGAAACTTAAATCATAAACCATCTGCCTTTGACTGACTTATTTTTATTGGTTCCTTTTCCAGCCTTGTTATTTTTGGAAAGATTAAAAAATGTTTGCATCAAATTTATTAATTTTTTATTAACTCTCCGTGTTTCTTTTAAAAATTTTTTTAAACATTTCTCTTAAAAAGCAAGTGTAATAAACAAACCTAGTCCGTTATAGAATATTTATTTTTTATTAATACTTTTTATTATTAATCATTTATTTAATTTACATTGTTTTATATAAATTTTTATATTCTCCACTCAATAGAAATAGCAATAAACAAACTTAGTTTATCGTATTATTTTGAACTATTTTATATTCAGCTTTTAATTATTTTACGTTACTTTCTTATAAAAAAATTTTATAACCAAGATGCTGTAGCAGGGTACTAAATATAGGTACTACTAATATTTATATTAATGATACTTTCACGTACAGGATTCAAGTTATAATAACAACAACTCCAATTTGTTAACCAACAAATATATATTGAATAAAATACAACAAGCATAAAATAATTTTGTGTTCACAATGTAGATTAAATAGAAGGAAGTTGTTTCCCTTTAACTGTAGATTGATTGTAATCAACTGTTTGAAGAAAGTTCTCTTGTGAGATAAATGCTCCGAAATAATTGTTAGAGCAAAGTTTGCATGTGAAGAATGAATAACACAAAGAATATAATTGCTTGAAATGTGTTGTGAATAAACTGGTTTAAATCAACAAAGTTCTAGTTGATTGTACTTTGCGAAAGTTACAGAGAGAAAATGTAAGTTTGTAGTTACAAAATTCTGTGTCTGTGTGTGCGTTAAAGTGTGATGAGCAAAATCGTGGATTTGTGTTGACAGCTTGGATTTTACTGGACCTTACTGGCGACTTGCAAAAAGTCGCCCTATTTAAGAAAAAAAGGTAGGCTCCCACGGAACCTCGGGAAAACTTGATCTTACATTAAAAATATGTGATTGGTTAAAAATTAACCAATCACTACACTCGTACTAAACAGAATAGGTAAGTATGCTCAGAACTAAAAGATTCAAAGGAATGACTGCGATGGCTAAATTGTCCTATACAGAGGTATACAGGTGAATAAAATGACTTGGAGTGTATGTGGGTGTGAAAAACATACCAATCGCTATAATGCCTTTAGATATTCTCATTAGTTATATATATATATATATACTAGCAGCATTGCCCGTGCTTGATTCAGAAATTGTATGACTCATACAGCAATCGCTATCACTTGACTTAAAATATTTTTGCCCTTCCTTGCCTTTAAAGGAGTGCCCTTTGCCATGCTGATGTTGCTACATGACTTACTTCTTGCCTATCTTACACTGCAAATTTTTTCTAAGCTCTATAATAAACATTAAGTCTGTTACGAAAAAAGAACTAAACAAAATGAACACAAAATGATCAGCTTTAAAAAAGGACTCGTAACTGGAAAAAACGAACGTAAAAAAGAATGTTAACAATAAATACTTTTTCACACCCAACCCAGTTCTGCGGAATCAGAATCAACATTGAGTTTAAGCAAGCGAATGAGCCAATTGGAGTAAAGTGCCATGCAGATTTAAATTTTTCCCACTTGTGACGAATGCAGGTATAAATTTTTTTTTGCATGCTAGTTAACATTCGTGTCAGTGAGCTGTTGGCTCTCATGCTGGCCAATAGAATCTTCCTGCCTATTCGTGGCAGCCAGCTATAGGCTCTCACTCTGGCCAGTACAAAATGGCCACAAGCTACATGAAAACTGCTGTAGAAGCATGAAAAATCGATTATTTCCACTATTGATGGGAGTTGGGAAATGCAAAGTCAGTCTTGGCCTTCCCGCTAACTTAGAGCATGTGCATGTAAATTTTGGTGCAAATCCGTTGAAAATTGCGGCCGTGCATTCGTTACACATGCACACACACACACATCCTGCCTTTTATAGATAGAGATTTAATTTACATTGTTTTATATAAATTTTTATATTCTCCACTCAATAGAAAGATGCCTTTTATTTATATATATATATATATATATATATATATACACACACACACAAATATACACCCACCCACCCAATCTCAGAATCTTTTTTAGAAGCTTTGCCTTTGAGAAGGATATTTCTCTTGTAAGAGTAAGCACACACATGTTCTCACTCAAATTTGAACTTTCTTATTAAAATTTCCAGGCATGTTGTTCTTTTAAAGTGTTCCTTGTGATTAATTTATAGCTTTTGGTGTGCCTGGAATAATAAAATAATTGAAAGCTTCTTATTTATTTGTGTGAGAAAGGGCAATGAAGACCGGCTGTGGATTAGGATTGTGGGAAGTGCTCTGGGGTTAGGGCTGTATATGCTGGTCTGGAATAATTACTAAGTAAATGTTGAAATTACACCTTACGTCAGATGTCTAAAGAGTCTGGCACGTCATGGGATGTGTGATATCGGGGAAGCTAATTGAAAATACATTATGTTACGCATGAGTAAACTACAATTTGGGTGGGGGGCTAAAAGAAATAAAACAAAAGAGGTAAAGAGTGAAATAGATTAATAACAAAATGGTGGACATTCAAAGACACTTGTGAAAAATAATAAAATATATCGGATTACAAAAAACAAAAGTGAAGGAAAGCATAAAGAGAAGAAAGAAAAAAGGGAGGGTAGAGGGAATAAGAGAGTAGTGGGAGTTGGACTAAAGAGAGGAAGAAATAAGGTGGAGAAGAAAGAGGAGGTCGCAGGAAAGGAAAAAGAAGAGATTGTGAAAAGAAAAAAAGTTGGAAATGCAAGAGATAGAAAAGGGGGGTAAAAAGAGGGAGAAGATGGCATTCATAAAAGCTGCTTGATAAAAATATATGCCTTGTTTGAATTATACGATGTATGAAGGTTATGAAAAAAAAATCAAAAGTCGGGGGGGGGAGGGTAAAGCAATGGAATGTCAGAAAAGCTTGGTATGTCAGTTGCTAACTTGAAAACATCGCATCGATCGGTTTTGACAATTTACAAGGGAACGATGGACATGAAACCCCTACAAAGGGAGAGTAAGAATTTTTATTCTGTGTATATGTGTGTGCATGTGTTACTGGTTGATTTGTATTCTACTGATAACTAAAGATTTGTGAACAGGACGATGTGGCTGCCATAGTTCAATGGGTAAAAAAAATGCTTTTATGTTTCGTAATGAAAAATAGTTTACTTTAAATATTTCTATTTAATTTATGACTTATTATCTTGTGACAGGCTTCGTTTTTTTTTATCTGTTCAGGAGATCAATCTCAGTCTGCTAGTATTGATTGCTACTTGGCGTGTATCTTTAAGCCATTCTTTCTATCAATCTGGATATTTATCAGTCTCTGTTTCTCTCTCACTTTGTCCATTTCTCAGTCTGTATAATTTCTCTCTCTGATTTTTTCTCAGTCTGTTCATTTTTTATTCAGGGTATTGTTTGTTTTTTTGTTTTTTTTTTTTCTCTAATTTGTTGTTTTTCTATCTCACTGCTTTTTTCCATTCTCCGTTTTCTCCCTCCCACTCTCTCTCCATTTAATTCTCTCTCATACTCTCCATTATTCTGTTCTCTCTCCCCATTATATTTTCTCTCTTGCCATTATATTTTCTCTCTCCACCTCCGCTATTTTTTTCCCTCTCTTCATCTTCTTCCTGTTCCACGTTCTCCAACATAATTTCCTTTCATGTGTGTTTGCCACAAATGCTAAAAAGGAAATTATGTTGGAGAAATGGAATGAAATCCCAACTTTGGTTCAATAACCATAAAAATCTATCAGGGACAACAAGAACAATTTTCCTCTTGCAGCACACTTGAACTACCCATTTCATAGTGTCAATGACATCAGATGCATGCTTTTTAGCATCTTCATTCAACAGCCAACAAGTAAGATGTAGATCAGAGTTGAAATTTATTTTCAAAATAAATTCAAACATTGAGTGATTTTGATTTATTCAGAGAGTATAATTTTTACAGGGAGATCTACAACATTTCTTGGAAAGAGTAAGTCCCACTTTTATATTTATTCCTTCTATCACTGCAAAAGAACACAGGAGTGTTCAGAAATTCTGGCATTAAAATCTTTCTTTTTGTGTGAAGCACAAAAAGAAAGATTTCATCAATAAATATCAATTTTATTGACAATATTAGTATCATTTTGTTGGCTTTATATTTTCCAAATTTTATTGACCAACTTATCAAATTATATATATATATATATATATATATATATATATAATATTTATTGATAGATTCTGATTTCAGTTCTACATACACACGCAGAAAAAAAAAGAAAAATACTGGATTTTAAAATTAAATACATATAAACTAAGGTTAAATAAAGACTCGGGTATTTTAAATATTTATAAATATTTCAATAGTTAAACATTTTTTTTAGATATAGTTAAAAAAAATTTTTTTTTTTTTTTAAACAACATCTAAAATATTATTACAGTTAGTTTTACGTTAAAAAATATTCAAACATAGTGGTGTTCCATATCACGTGACGTCCGCCTCTTGCGACGGACACTACTTGTAAACAAACCTCTAAAAACAATTATTTCTGAAGAAAGATCAAGGTCCATCTGAAATATCAAATATAAATACTTTTATAAAAAAACATTATCTTTTTTTAATTTGCAACTTTTTAGTTGTTTTTTCTATAATATATATATATATTATCATAGATCCTCGTCTGGCACTAATATGGTGATGGGGGATACAACCAGCACCAGGCTAAGATCCACGTATTCTGCACGGTGATTCGTTTATATCTTATATTCCCCGAATAACCTTCCGTTATGGGATCACTGAATAAATATTAGGGTGATTTCCCTTACATCATTAAATCATCAGCAGATAATATAAAAAGAAATGAAAGTAAGCAAAGTCCAACTCAATTATGATTTAATTGAATTAAGCTTCCTCGGGTTCTTGGAATAACACATTCAGCCGACCACTGACCATAAATGAATGAAACGACATGGTGAACAATATAATATTTAATTAACAAGAGCATTTATATGGCAACGACAATAAAGACATTATATCATGTGAGCTACAACATATTTTTAGTTGGAATACGACAAATATTAACAAATGCAATGTTTCACACATATACAGGGGTATAGTCTCAAGTGTCTGGTTTTACAAATATGGAAAGGTGTGTACAAGAACATAATATTATTGGGTGTTTGCGAATCATAGTAATACTGGGGTTTCTAGGGTATACACTTATCTGAGATATGCATTTATTGACCAAAGGTGATATTAGTCTCTTTTCTTGTATTCTTGATTCAGCGACTGGAGCTTTAAGTTCTCAACTGGGATCACATTCTCTGCCTTATATTTATATTCAGGATTTCTTCTTAAGGCAATGATCTCCAAGAGGTTCAGGCCAATTGCATCTAGACTATCTTCACATTCTGGGCATTTGAGTGGCTGGTCTGCTTTTCTGCCTCTGGGAATGTGTCGTCTCAGCATGCTGCCTGGGACATGGATGTTGGCGTGACTTTTCGTCCGCTGGTATCTCTGATAAAGCTGCTTTCTTTTTTCTTTTCATGTGCGCGTCTCCTTTTTGGTGCCTAATGTAAAATGTTCAGTTGTATGGATATTAGTTTGTAACCCTGGGCCTCATGCTTTTGTGATTATCAAACTAGTTTATCTTTTAAAAAGTGGATCTATTTATGCTCTTTTTTGTGTGGTAGAGGGTGAAATTTTATTCTGTGTTTGTTTGGGATAACACTCTCTCACATACACACACACACACACATATATATATATATATATATATATATCTATATACGCACATAGTAAAGGTAATTAATCTGTTGGTGTATAATCCAAGTGGGTCGAGTAGTATCAAATATTAAAACTGATCCACAAAAAGAACTCAATGTATTATTTCAGAGCAGAAATTAATACACAATAAAATCCAAAATGGCATCATCTGAGGTGATTTTGGATTTTATTGTGTATTAATTATATCCAGGTAAGACGAGAACAAATAGAGTACAATTCCAACGTTCGTAACATTTAATTTAAAAGAGTGAAAAGTAGAACAATATTTATTTTAGGATATTACACTGAAAACTTGTCAAAATCATGACACAATTGCAGTTGTGTTTCAATGCATGCCAATGCATCTCATAAGGCGATTGTAAATTACGGGTGAGTGAATGATTTATTTAGATTTAAAAGCAAAATATAACCCCTTTTTACAAAAAATGGGGAATATAAGATTTGTGGGCTTTACTCTGATCAACTAATCAAATATGACATATGTTAACTTTAAACGAAGTGAAGAAGCAAAAGTTACAAAGTTAGTTTTATAAATGAGTCATGATTGGCAGCTAATGGCAGCCAGACATAAACTAGAGCAGAGGCAAATGGTTACAGAAAATATACAAACAAGACCATGCCATTTTCTAAGAAATAAAAAATGAAGTGGAGGGGTAATTTTAACAAAATGCTAAATAAATTATATGCTTTGTGAATTTCCTACATAAAAATTTTTTATAGTTGATAAATAAATAGCTTCTTTTAGAAACTAGTAAATAATTTAAACATGTAGAATTATTTGGTAAATTAAAATGATACTGTTGAAAATATATTCTTCATATAAGATGTTAATAACAGTAACCAATCAATGTAAAATGTCAAAAATACCAACCAAATACCAATACATCCGTACAAGATTTTGCTAATACTACCAGGAGATTAATACAAAAATTATATTAAATTCAAATTAATCTTAAAAATAGAAAGATAAACCATATATGGTGCAACACCATACAGCTAAAATATAAGAAAAAGCATAGTCAAATTCCAAAGTCTAACTAAATTGTAAGGTAAAAGGTAAACTATGTTTACAATTTACGGTTAATTCATTTCTTTGATTTAATAAGGAATTTTTCTTGGGAGTGGGTTCCTGACACCAAAACAAGGTAAAATGTCCATATAAACATATATCCAAAAGGCCATCATTGTACCTCAGCACTGCAACTGCAATGTTAAAATGTCCTCCATTTGCTTCTATACACACATACATCTGTTGGATCATTGACTGGTGGACCTTTTCAGATACTACTACATGGTGTTGAATGGTTTGCGAAGCCCCCATAACATGTTGATGAATTATCTCTGCATTATTAATCTCTGCTGCATAAAGCAATCATCTTAAGTGGCCTCACAGACAAAAATCCAAAGGATTGAGGTCAGGGAGGAATGTGCAGCCATATATATATATATATATATATATATATATATATATATATGTTTTGCTGGGTCTGAATATTATTGGTCTCTAGTTTTCCTTGAAAAAATTTTTTTCCTTCCCCTCATTAGTCATCCTTAATTAATTTACATGTTTGTTCTTTTACTTTTTTTAATTCCCAGAATAAAACTTGATTAGACTGGGGTGAAACTGGTTGTTTTTAGTTATTAAATTTACACTGATATGCATTGTAATTTAAATTTTAGATTATGCTTATTCCTTGCTATTATAAAGTTTTCTACAACAAAAAACTTATATATATATATATATATATATATATAGAGAGAGAGAGAGAGAGATACATATAAAGCGTGTTCCAATAACTTGGACCGATTTTGAACTTAATTTGTATTTAAAATCAGTCCAAGTTATTGGAACATTCTTTATATGGATGATAATGGATATGCCCCCATTCCCATAAATACCATAGTGAATACTCTGTGTTGGTCTGCAGTTGGAGATTCATTATGGAATTCCCTTGACTTACTTCTAGCAATTGACTACTACTTTTATGCACCGCTGGCAAATCTTATTTGTGTTGTTCTTATTCTA